AATTTGGCTACAATTAAAAGCATATTTTATTTAGGTGTACACATAAAATATGTATAAAGATCTTTATACTGGCATAGAAAAATGTTTTTCTAATACAAAAATGTCTGAACTACCCACTTGTTAGATAAATTTATACTAATTGCGGCACTGTTAGAATTCGCCACTATCACATACACAAACGAACCTATTCGATGAAACTCTAACAAGTCTCTGTAACGTCCAATTTTGAATTCGTTTGTAGTTTTACAACTAGTATAGTTTTATGTATATTCGCTTTTTATGAACGCACGTAGCTGGTAGTTGAGGGGGAAAAGTCGAATTATAATTATGGCAAAGGTGATAGCTAATGAGAAATAAAACATCGCTACCCTTAAAACATGATAAAAAGATTAAAATTTAGATAGTTGTGCCGTATTGTTGGAAAACATACACATTTTTTGTTTCATCTTTTATAAGAAATTCATAAAATTATATATGAATCTTGTACGAATGTCGTCAAGAAGATTTACGACGATCCCGCGACAATTCGATCCAATTTTCTTTGGTAAGGAGAAATGATTTCATTTTATTTACATTTAAACTGCGAATTCATGAGTTATTTCTAATAAAAGAATACAGTATAAAAGGGTGTTCAATTTGAGTGTACCTATACTCTAAATTAAAACATTTTTTTACATTTATATTGCAAACTAGCTGTGCCCGCGACTTCGTTCGCGTGGAATAGTGACTATGAGCAGCGTTTTTTTTTTAAATATAAGTATACTTATTTTTATATTGGATCATAATCACAGTCATTTTGGGTAGCTAAAAAACCTACTTTTCTGTAATGCTTCTCTATATAAGATTAATGGTGCCTATGTATGTATAAGCATAGAATAGTGTTCGACGTGATTCTTTAATTTGACATAACTTTTTTATTTATGAACCGATTGACATGAAACAAACACTAAAACATAACTGAAGCATACCACAATATATTTGTGAAAACCGCATCCAACTCGGATCAGCCGTTTCTGAGATTAGCGTGAACAGACAAACAGACAAAAAAAAAGTTAACTACATTTTTGGGTTCAACATCGACATAACAATAAACCCTGCTATTTTTTTTATTTTTATTTTCAATGTACAGACAGCACTTTTCTACAATTTTATTATATGTATAGATATAGATAACACAAATAATTGTATGGTTTTTACAGCTGAAATCTCAATTTCTTTAAACACATTTCCTAAATATTCGAACACATAGCAATGCGACCTCATTTGTCGATCTGTCTACGAATTTGTGCCAGTAGCATTTAAACAATCTGGTTCAATATGCGTTCCGTTTGCAATGTCAACGGGAGAATGTGATCGGATGTTGATAAAAAGATTACAGGAATCATTATATATGACTTTTTACACTTAAAACAGATTTACATACATATAATCTTATTGATTTTGATCGAATATATCTTAAATTACTTAAAATTAAGCTTTATTGTGTGGTTGTTACGAGTTAGTTTACGTTGTAAGTACTATTTTTCCATTTAAATAAATAACAATTATAATTAACAATACCTGAATACTTAACAGTCAAAATGGTTTATGCTGTTATTTCATTTAATATATTAGGACCTTATCATGACTTTTTTTTCACTGCAACACTAATATATATATAATATGTACAATTAAATTGAATATCGTCGGGGATAGTGCAAATCCGCGTAACTACCATTGGATAATTCCGTGTATCTACATTGGAAGCTGATTATCAGAAGAAAGTTGGAGTTGAAATATTTTCTAAATAAATCGACTTTTAAGTTAATTTTTTTCACAATTAGTAATAAATTAAAGACTAAATAGTTACTAATTGTGGAAAAATTAACTTAAAATTCTTTAATTTAGAAAATATTTCAACTCAAACTTTCTTCTGATAGTCTGCTTCCAATGTAGATACGCGGAATTATCCAATGGTAGTTACGTTGATTTGCACTATCCCCGACGATATAATATAATTATAATTTTATATATTTCTGAGATGGAAAACGTGAAACCGCTTCTGCTATCTGTATTTTCATACGAACGAGATATTTTCTGTCGGTGGATATTCTGTGGACGAGAAATGTAATTCTGAGCCGAATATGTTTCCATTGCGAATATTACTTTCTTCGGCAGCCCGCGGCGTATAAATGTTGATGTTTCATATTGTGCACCTGACAAGACCGTCGTCTTCCACACGTTCAAAATATTTATATTTCTACGACAAATCAATATAAAAGTTATACGCATAGAATATTTTTTACAAATTTTTTTCCTAAAGATAACTCTCGGCAAAATAAGCTTATGTTACAAGTGGCGCCCTCTATGCCGTGCTGTTTAATCCATAATATAATTTTTAGAATTATTATGTATTAGGACTGTTTATAATTAGGTACTTATTTAAGTATTAACTTGTATTAACATTTAAGTATTAACTTGTATTAGAAAACTATAAATACTGGCTTATGCCATTTTGTAAGAGATTACCAATTTGTGTTGAAGTAACGGCGAACATTGAAAAAGTAATTTAGAATCTCGAACACTTATAAATATCGACTAAACTAAACTTAACTCGAGGAAGGCGACGTACAATCATACGTGGTTGTCCAAAAGAGAAACACTTGTCTAATTTTTTTTACAGTAACGTTATCAAAAATACAAGATACCATCCCAACTCAATATCCAAGACTTATGAAATTAAATAAGTCTATAATATGTTTTGCTTAATTCATGTAAACAGGAAAATCCCGGTAATTAGACGTAATTTAAAGATTGTATAACTAAAAAACAAACAAACCACTTCTAAATATAGGTGATAATAAATAACTTAATTGGATAAAATCTACAGCTTAACGCCTTACACTAAGTACAATTTAATCCAAATTAATTTAGTTCAATCCATATTTGAGCCGGTTTTGAGAGTTAATGTTTAAATATTGTTATTTCTAAGTCTGTTTGCTGTATAGTCTTTTGGCTAGAACTAAATAATTTACAAAGTGTTTTACACCAAACTTCAAGGTTATGGACTCTAGCAAAATATTTGGAAAAAACGTGTTAGAAATTTTCTCTTTATGTCTTCTCCTTTACCCACTAGAGGAGCTTATAAACATTGATTATAACTTTAAAACACACGGTTTCAGCATATAATCGAACCAAGAACCAACTAAGCGCAGCTGTTCGTTGCACTGTCAGGTACTGTTATCGGTAAATATAAAAAATAAATTAAAATTTTCAATCAAGAGTTTCTTACTGGAAATAAATTGTAAATGTCATTGATTTCAAAGTAATATTTGTATATGTTTATAACTAAGTAAAGTAAATATTGTTCTAATTAAAATTACGTTCTTCAATGAAAGTTTTTCAGATAGATTTTATTATTTCAAGATTGGAATGCATGCATCAATTTGCTTTGTCAACATAAATGTTAGGATTATAAACATTTAAATTAAAATATTGCTATTTTACATACCTATATTTAATACACCCAAGTGTAAACTGTAAAGGTACGTAAATTGCAACGTATAATATAGTATGTATTATTATAGAAACTCCAATTAATAACAGCGCCATCTAGCAAAAATATACAGAGTTACATTTTAACAAAAGTCTCTTAGTCTTGAAAGATGGCGTATAATATGAATAAAAAAGAATGTAGTTGTTGGAGGCGCCAATTTCGTTAAAGAAAAACTAAAGTCAATAGACTATGTAGTATTTATCATAAAAGACTATAAATAATCTATTATCAATAATTATAAATGATCAAGCAAGTACATGAGCACACAAGTATCGTCATCTTTCGATATATTTCGAAAATTATGTAAAGTGCCTTAGATACTTTTAAATAATAACGTATTTAATATATTATTATTCATATTGTTACTTTTATAAAAATATTACTACTAAAATAAAACTCAATAATCACAAAGAAATTTTATTACATAAGGCAGTGTCCTTTACATTAAGGCGACCATTGATCTTACACGTAGTTCAAATAATTTATTAAAAAATATATGTACAACCTTTTTAATCAAGACTCCATGGTAACTGTTTCTATCGCGTCTACAGTGATAATCTTCATTGTACTTTTTTACAGTGATATGTAACTCTAAGATGGATTTCTAAAATTTAAAATGGAGGTAATGGCTAAAAAACGATATTTTTTATTTAGCCCGAGACTATAGAGAATTAAGTTCTTTTAATTTGAGCAAGGCGATTTAAGTTTTATTGCTATTATTCATAAATATAATATACATATGTTGCACCGTGGGTTGTTGTGTAAATCTTTTATGACCTCTTGTGAGCAAAGATTTTTGCATAAGTTTCCTTGTTGTCCATAATATGCACATAAGAGATAATGCGAATTCTTCGTCAGCTATATCACAATATATTATGTTATTTATATGTCTATCATATTACATATAAAATAACTATAACTCAATAACTTGTACTGTCAGTTGACGGTCATTAGAAAAATTATCCTTTCAGTTATATCACAATAACAAACAAAAAAATGTATAATTAATTCCAATTTCAAATTATTTGTTCTTCTCCTGTAATGTTTATTAATTTTTAACGGCGTTGCTTGATTTATTATATATGTATATATATAATTTAATAACCCAAGACTTTAAAACATGTAGTTGTAATTTACATTGTAAATTCAGTCAATCTATTGCTAAAACTTCTATTCAACTATTTTAAGACGTTACGGAGAACTTATACTACTATTAAATGTATTAGTTGAGGCACTTATGACTTCGTTATGTATGGAAAGTAAGGCATATAGATAAAAACAATTTGTATGAACATTTCACCATTATATACAGCCCTTAATAATTTTAATACTATTTCTGATTGGTAACAGTGTAATAAAATTGAGTTTTAATATAGATTGATATAAATATTTTAAGCATTAATTTTATTATGTCTGTATGAACTTAAAACGCATGAATTCGATTATATATATAGATTTTATAAAATTATGCGCTCTTATGTAAAGGTCTAAGATTTCTGTGGTTCTGAAGACATTTGATTGAACAGAACTGATAGCTATCATATTCAAACGGCTCCCTCGGTAGTTGTGTGCCGCAGAAGAAACAACGAAATTCCACTGCTTTCACCTGAAAATAAATATATTGTAATGAGACATTAATACGTTTAAACATAGCGCATTTTGTTGGTTAGTTGCTTAATGAGAGCCTAGAAGAGATAAAATGTTACTTTAAATATTTAAAAAACATTATACAATTTTGCAGATAAGTCGGTGGTTCACTAGTGGTTAAAATACCCGCCTCCCATACATGAGGGCCCGGGTTCGATCCTGGCAAGTACCAATGTGATTTTTCCGAGTCACATGTACTTTCTAAGAGTATTTAGACATCACTGATTAATGCATTCCCAAAGAGGGATGATTTCAGGCTGCCGGCCGGTCGTAAAAACAACTAGCCAAAACTATTAACAACATGTAAGGCAGACTTTGGCTAAAGCTGGGAAGTTGTCAGGTAGAAGATACAATTATGCAAATAGATAGATAGATAAGGGGCATTTTCAGCAGAATCATAGTAAAGCATATAATATATGCTTTATATGGACTAATTAATACTAAATTAATGAATTATTTACAAGTAATACAAGTACCACGAAAGAAAGGTTAAAATCTCAATAACAGTAACCCAATTTGTGACCAACTATTGGCAATCTATATATATAAAAATGAATTGCTGTTCGTTAGTCTCACTAAAACTCGAGAACGGCTGAACGGATTTATCTTATCTTAGTCTTGAAATGTTCGTGGAGGTTCAGGGAAGGTTTAAAAGGTGAAAAAAATTGATTCATTTCCGGGAAAACCCTAAAAATAGCCCTAATCTATTTTCTATACAAACGTTTTTTAACATTAGATTTGACAACTAACTAATATGTCAATCATTCTGTTTGATTGTAACAGGAAAAAAATAATAAATACCAATACCTGGTATATTTAAGAGTTCGTCCGGTCTATATAAAGTATATATATAAACTAAAGATGGCTAAAATATAGAACATTATGAATGTATATTTGTATATTCATATACTTCACCTTCTGTGAATCCGTCATTGATAAAAACTTGTTAGTTTTATTTCTCTCAGCCTGTTTTTCTTTGTCTCGCTGTCTCTTGGCTCGTTTCTGTTGAGCTTTCCTCTCTCTCTCCTGTTCCAACTGTTCCGGTGTTACTGGGCCAGGAATTTGTGACTGGAATAAGAATAATAATAATAGTATTATTTTTGAAGTGATAACATCTTATGGGAGGGTTAACTGCTTCGTAACGTAACGCGTAACGGCGTAACATAGTCTGATTTCCAATTTTCTCATGTATATGGCATCAGTATGTACGAATTGTTACGAGTAATAATAAATTTATTTATAAAGCGATTATCAATTCAATATATATGTATATCAATTTTAAGTTTTAACCTACTGTTTATAAGTTACGCGATTTCTATATTAGATAGTTTATTAAAGTACTTACACAAATTTGTTACTCTAAGTATTTTTTAAATCTACAATTCATATTTCATTGTACGTAATGTTAATTAGTCGTAGATGATAATATAATAAAAGTGTATATGTTTGATACATCTTTGAGAATACTTATTATTTGCATTCCTCATTCATAAAACTTTAAAACAACTAAAAATTTTTGTTTATTCCGATTAATTATAATAAAATAAATACCTTATTATAGTTATATTTGTCAGGATATTGAGCTTGAAACATTCTAAAGGCCAGCCTGGTGGTTGGCGGGGCGGCCGCGTACGGTGTCTGTAACTGATGATTCTTGACACACGGATCACCTCCCGCTGATAACAGCTGACTGATGGACAAACATTATATATTATATATACAGAACTCTAATTCCAACCTGCGATAATTAGAACATCAATCATTCAAAGTTATCACGACTTCCCTGCAAAATCTCTTTATATTTCGTACTAAATCAATACATTTTATGCACTTGGTAATTCGAACGAAAAAATTATTGCTGTATAATAAAACGACGCGTTAATTGGAGCTCATCGGCGTTCAACACTCGACAATTCAAAGTGGCAGAGAGATACAGGTCGAATGATTGTAATGTAAGTAAATTTAGCGACAAGTTCAAACTTGGACAAACGTTTAGCACAGATGTATATACGTGTATGTATGTGCAATCTGAACTTTCATTTCAACTAGTAATATACATCCTAACATATTTTATGTTTCTTATGCAATGTAGGTACATATTAACAACAGTTTTGACGTGATAATATCTTTAAAATCGTTTAAGTCGGGTGACATGTTCAGAAACTTGTGTCACCCCAAAACCTCACGAGCGCGATCGCAGGTATAACGAGAGAGAGACAGACCGATCTCCCGTCTCATCTCGAGCGCTGCCAGTCATTCCGTGAAACTTATCACGCGGAATCCTCACGAGCGGAGGCAGGCATAGCGTTCGAGTGAGTGGACCGATCTTCCGTCTCTCTCACTCTAGCGGCATACAAACGAATGGAGATTTTCTCGTGCGGTTAAGTTTAAGCTGAAAACCTTCCTTTTATTTCTTACTTTTCCTATCACCGTCCTATCCTGAACAGAATTACCCCGATTGGAAACAGATAAATTTACGGGAAGATTGTAACTGATCGTATTGTATGTTATGTATGTATGCATGCATAAATGTTTGTATAAATGTATAAAAGTAGGTTTGTTTGAATGTATGTATGAAGAAAAATGTATGTCATAGTCGAATAAGTAAACTTGTCATTTTACACTCGAAATTTATCAAAAGTGTGAATAAAACGATAGATGTAATTTAAAATTTGAAAAAATTGTTATCTTCATTAATTCCTTACTTCCCAAAAACTTATATCACCAATAAGACGTTATCATGTAAACATCTCAATCGTAAACCTACTTTACAAACAACCAATTTTTTATAACTAAGTTAATAATATCTTTAACAGTACATAGCATAGAAACATAAGTAAGGCACCAAGTACCAATTGAACCCCTGTATATATACAATTGTAATATGAACACGCTGTATATAACTCACGTGACCATATCCGGTTTATCAGCGATGGCTGCCTTGTGTAGCGCCGTGTTTCCGTCCTTAGGGTCGGCCATATTACAAGCTACAACCAACTGATCATTCTCCAATTCCTCTAGAATAGGCTCCAAAGTAGTATCCGATGATGATATTATTTTCCATATCTAAATACAATAATTAAAGATAGTTTTTATATGTTTTTCATATAGTTTTACTGTTCATAGGCTATAACGTTTTACCCCTACTTCGCGTAGTTAGGTTAATATTTTATGTATCTAAAATCTACAATAGTTTTTTCTTTACAATCTTCCTTGTATCTTTTTGCTATTTATAGGCGTAAGTTACTATGTCTACTTCATCAGTTTAGTTGACTTTAAGATTAATTTTTTATGTATGAAGTGAATGAATACTATATTAACTAGACCATTTGATGTATAATTGGTGGATATATATAAATTAATTCCATGAACACCTGGGTTTATACACCTAATCTTATATAGGATCACCTTTTTAACATTATCCGGTATCTTGACAGCTGTTTTCTTAGCAGGTGGTTTATCTTCTGTCTTCTTCTTTTTCTTCTTAACGCCTTTAACTTCTGGAACTTCTGGTTCACTCTGGTCTGAATGATCACTTTTCAGGACGTGGTCGTTCAACAGATCTTTCCTTGAATTCGTTATAACTCCATTACTGCTTTGTTCTGATAATGTTTTAATCCATCCGACGGGTGTTTCTGAGTCTATGAAGCACGGCCCTTCATCTTCGCTAGACATCACCTGTGTTGGCAATTCTCTTGGAGCACGTTCTCTGTAATTGTTAATTAGATTTGTTTTAAGACCTATTATTCTATGTAGCTGTAAAATGTTCAGTGTTTGTGAGTGTTGAATTGAGAGGAATATAGTAGCCGGCATATTAGCTTAGTAAGCGAGGATAGACATTAGACATACTGAATTTATAGTTGTCATAGATATGATTTTTGACTTTGGGAAGAAAATACAATTCGCTCCCGAGTACACTTGCGATCACTTAAATTGAACCCATTGTGTTTGTTACTGTTACCATTTACGTTATTGACAGGCATCAAAAGTAACCATTTTTTTATACTAAGTGTATACGCAATATTTGAAAATTGGTCATAATTTCCGTCAACAATTTGAATGTATTGAATTTTATATACCAGGTATTATTATTCTTACAACTATAAAAAATCCTGTAGCTAATTATCTTCTATAATTAATTTGTATGTTTGTTTGCACATTTATCCCTCAAATCTTTTAACTACATTAGTTGTAGTATAATTCATAGTACAGTAGAAACTCGATTATCCGGCCCTCAGTTATACGGATTCTCGATTATCCGGACTACGGACAAGTCAGACAATAAAAATGTCAAAGCATAAGAGAGTGGTGTTGTTGAGAGTGGCGTACGTCAAATGACAATTACCAATTATTCTATACCAAATGAAACTCATTATTTTAATTCATGATTACCAATTGCAAATTATTAAATACATATTGTAATTTATTTTTTAAATAAACATATAATATTATGAACTATATAAGCACCTAACCGGCTTTTCTTCATACATTCGATTATCCGAATTTTCGATTATCCGAATGCCTATCGACAACAATTAGTCCGGTTAATCGAGTTTCTACTGTATATATTTTGTTTAACAAACCTGGACTTAGCTCTGTCGATAGGTTTATGCGGACTCTTCTGCTTCTTTGTTCGTTCCACATTTGCTTCCTGATTGACTTTCGTTGGACCCTTACTGGTTGAAGCGATCAACGCCTTTTGGAATAATTCCATCGTATCTAAAATATACAGGTATTGAAAATTAATTTAAGTTTTTAAAGGAATATAATATGGTGAACTTTAAACAATAAGAAAAATATAATAATGAAATGTTTTGAGATCAAAAGGAAAATCCGTAAAGAAAACAAAAACATATATATAGGTATGCTTTTCTTTGGAAATGAACGATCACAATAGAGTTTAATGTTATCAAGATTGATACAGATTTAAAATAAACAGGTACAATTTCCTATTTACTGTTTATTCCAAAGAAATAATCCGATTTCTTTACAGTGACCGAATTAAATTTATAACTATGACTATTGTCATATAGTCAACAACAAAATCATATTTAAGACTACACACGGACACACGTATATAGTTTAAAGGTTTCAATAACTCACCATAAACCTCCAAGCTAGCAACCGTTTCATGAACCCTCTGTACCTCTTTGTAAGTTGGTTTTCTTGTAGGGAAAGGCAGAGCTCTAACTCTCATATCATCTCTGTTCAACGGAGAGTTTTTCCCAAATAATGCCCCCTGGTTCAATGACCCCACAGCTCTATACAGTATCAACGAACACCCAACTAAATCCTCTGTCCAACTCGATATTATGTCTTGAACATGCTGAAATAATAGAATTTTTTATGAAAATCCTTCAATACTATATTTTAAAAATTGCTATAACTAGGATTTATTTAAAATTTCTTACTAGGTGTGATGCATAATTAATCAAAATAATAATCAGACCTTTGAAGAGATTCCGAATAGTTAAAGGATGCTTTCTCGTATATTTTAGGGCTCACATGGAAAAAACAAATTAACGCCAAGAAAATATCGGAAGGAGGTGACGTTACAAGTTGGACTTCCATTATCTTATGATTCAACCAAAGAAAATTGATGGAAAGTATAGTCGCAAGCCAATTAAACCCTATGAATAGTTATTTGTTATAGTGCTTGCATATAAATTCGGAGATTGCATATCGACAATTTGATATAATTAAGCTTAGAAGTAAATAAATATTACAAAAAGAGTTTTCGCTTATTCCTGATAAAATTATTATACAGTTATCATACACAATTTTTTTATACCCTAATACTTGATAAATTATACCCGTTTTTGTATAATTCACAACCTTTTTCATTAATACATACATGTATATACAGGGTGACTGGTGAATTACTATCAATATTTTAGGAGAATACTCGGTGCATGACTCTCATTCGAATTATGTAAAAAAATAGGTACTTAATTTTTTACCAAATTTCCGTATAAATAAATAAAGCGTGGACTCGTTCCAAGTGTTCCAAGTGTGGACGCGTGTGGCGGCGTGCTGATACAACACTACGCCGCCACACGCGCTTGTGTGTGTGTGTACACCTAATCTGTAGGGTGTTCACACGATGCGTAATTAATTACATAACTTTTGGTTAACTTTACTTAGAAGTTTATTAATATTTATGTTATATTAATTTTTATTTTGTCATATATGATCGTCAAATATCACGTCCTCAAGTATCGATAGTAATTCACCAGTCACCCTGTATAATACTTTTACTATAAAATACTATATGACCAACCAATATTTACGGACCTCCAAAAACTGTGCCTGATTATATCTCCTCAGACTGGCGCCAGCTGATCGTGGGGCGTTCCCATGTTGATCTCTGTTCAATTGCCCTTGACCTTGACCTCTACGGGTCACATAAGAGTGCATCGTCTTATGTAAAACTACCGCACTACCAGCGAAGATGGCCCCCGCGAAATGACCTCCAGAGACCATAAGTACGGCCCACCGCTGAAAGCCAGGTAAAGCCAACCTTTCACATCGTTCCACCCACGCTGTACCCTCACCGTCTGTTGATAGTTGCTCCTAGAATAGAATGTTGTATTTTTCATCATCAATTATAGTGTATAAAAGTAGAAGTATAAGTAAATAATGTTGGCATAACTCAAAAAAATTTAAATTGCATACAGAAGTAAATTTTGATAACGGTTTTTGAACATCATATATCATGACGAAAAAAATTACTAACATTTTTTGGGTATTGTGTAAAGTTTATACATATAACTTTTGCACTGTTTAACTACTTCACAGGTAATTTGACAAAAAATATACAAATATTATAATAGGAACTAGCCAGTTTTGGCTAATCGTTTTATGACCGGCTGCTTGCCTGACATCAACCCTCTTTGGGAATGCTGTTGTTGAAACTTGTCATGTGTCATGTCATCAGCCTATCAGAAGCCCACTGCTGAGCAAGGCCTCTTTCTCACATGGAGAAGGTTTGAGCATTAATCACCACGCTTGCTCAAGACGGGTTGGTGATTTCAAACTTATAATTGTGAAACTATAAGTCCAGGTTTCCTCACGATGTTTTCCTTCAACGTATGTCAGTGATGTCTAAATACTATCAGAAAGTACATATGACTCCGAAAAATCACATTGGTACTTGCCAGGTTTGAACCCGCGCCCTCGGCAACGAGAGGTGAGCCCCTTAACCACTAGGCCACCACTGACTTATAATAGTGAAATTATAAGTCCAGGTTTCCTCACACTGTTTTCCTTCACCATGTATCAGTGGTGTCTAAATACTCTCAGAAAGTTACATATGACTTGGAAAAGTCACATTGGTACTTGCTGGGATTTGAACCTGAGCCCTCATTAACCACTAGGCCACCACTGACTTATATAATGTATGTACTATTGTATATAAAATGTATTAATACCTTCTTATGATGTAATATGCATCTGTATATACAAAAAACTTGTCCCTTGTGATTTGTAAAGAATGCTTTGCAATGTCTTGTGGCCGCTGCAAATAAATCGCTATCCGGATTCTTACTTTTCTCTTCTGTTTCAGAATCACTACCGGATACACTGGAATCATCTGGAAAATAACCACAAAGAAATATAAACAATCAAATATGATAAATAACAAAGCCAACTGACAGACATTAACATCTTATCTGCCTGTGATCATTGTTGCTGCAAAGTAACCGAAACATTGGGAGTATGTATAAAATAATAAAATACATGTAGTAATCATAAAATATTAGTTTCATTGAAAGACATACTTGTGAAAGTCTTAGATCTCATTACATCAAATATGAGGTTAAAATGTGTCTAAGGTCTTAAATTACTAAAATATTAACAATTCCCTTTATACATAACTTAAAATCATCCCCCATAACATTACTTACATTTCTAATCCAATATAATTTTAAAACATGAGCATTATTCATGTATTTTAAGTAAATAATTGATTTTCAGTCAGTGTGTTGCTAAATATCTGTTCTAACATTTTATATGTTATTTTGCGATATGAATATCATAGTATAATTGTTATTAATAATAAAATTATTTATTATTTGCCTTTGATAATTCATAAATTTCAAATAAACCTCTTTCAACATATTAAGAAAAGTTATTGTGATAATAAATTGAATGAGACTATACTTTTGAGAAAAACTATGTTCAAAAGTGACACTTAAATCTCATCTGTACTTGATCATGCTTGCCATAAAGTTAATAAATTACAGGTATAACAAAACTATCTATAGAAACTAGTTTCAATCAAATCTGCATCCATAAATAACTTAGATATTATTTATTACTAGTTTTTGCTCGTGACTTCGTCCGCGTTAGTTTCGTCATTAGTAATATATGTATAGCTGACCGGGCAAACTCTATTCCGTTTTAGAGGCCATTAATAATCAGGTTTCTCCTGTTTCAATTGAACAGAATGATTGACATATTAGTCAGTTGTCAAATCTAATGTCAAAGAAAACGTTTGTATGGGAAATAGAAAAGGGCTGTTTTTAGGGTTTTCCCGGAAATGAATAAATTTTTTTCAGCTTTCAAACCTTCCCTGAACCTGTACGAACATTTCAAGACTATGATAAGGTAAATCCGTTCAGCCGTACTCAAGTTTTAGTGAGACTATGGAACAGCAATCCATCCCTACTAATATTATAAATGCGAAAGTAACTCTGTCTGTCTGTCTGTCTGTCTGTCTGTCTGTCTGTCTGCTACGCTTTCACGCCTAAACCACTGAACTGATTTTAATGAAATTCGGTACAGAGATAGAGTTGACCTTGAGAAAGAACATAGGATAGTTTTTATCCCAGACTTTTGAAAGGTTCTCTTGGAAACGCGATATAACCGAACTCCACGCGGCGAAGCTGCGGGCGGAAAGCTAGTTTTTATATATATAGAAGATAATTACTTTCATCTTCACACCGCCTAGAATTAAACTGTCCCAAAGATAGCGGTGATTTCCCAAATAGTTTCCGTTTCAAATTATATGTATGCCAATGGTTTTTATAATGTGCTGTCTGCTGTGCACGAGAATCAAAGGGGCCGACACCACAACATGAGCAGGCATTACCATCTGATGCACCATTAAGAGTTAATGCTCTTAACCTTTTGAGTACACTCGCTTCATCAACTGGAAGAAAAAATAACAATAATCAAAAAGAATTTCTTATATTTCGATAAATAACCTCATTATTAGCTATTAAAATATTTAAAATATTTTTAACGACAGATTGCATTTTTTTATAGTCACACTCATGGATAAGAAAAATATGACGTTAGGCGAATCTATAATATGCAATATGTTAACTCTTTTCAATAATTAGATATTTTTTTAAGATAATAGTTTCAGAATGATAGTTGACTTACCAACTTGATGGGACTCCGTTATCATGCATGCTGCTACTTTTATTCCTTTGAGCAACTTCTCAAACTGATCTAATTCGTATATTCTCACTGTTTTAGGTTTTACATCAACTTTAGAAGACATTGTAATTATTTAATAATTTTGGTGTATATATTTAAGGTACAAAATATCAAAGCACAGCCTACAATATAAGGTATTTCAATTATTGACTAAGACACTAACGGTTAGTGTATAAATATTGTGCAATTATATCATAAGAAATATTTCCTGATGCAAAAATTACAAACCTAACCTACATTTTTGACTTTGAGGTTTGACTTTGATATTTTGGACACGAATGACATTTTTTTACTGGTCTAGGTACAGGAATCATAGGTAATTTAAAAAAATTAAATGAAATAATATTATTTTAGCTTCTTAGCTAAACTAGCTAGACTAAAAATAAAAAAATATAAATATCTAATGAATATATCTCAATAATCGGAAATCATTTAAAAAGGTTTTACTATCTGTGCCAATAAAACTGTAATCATAACAGATGGCACTAATAAAATTGTTGTTCATCAGCTCAACAGATGTCACTGTTAGTTTAATTTCACCTAAAAATGAATAAATCGCAAAATTCTAATATTAATTAGCATGTACAATATGATGATTTTTTTTATAATTCGGGTGACTTCTGAGCGATAACGTATAGGCTGTTACTGAAGTTGTGAGTTAATAACCACCCATGGTTTAATTTTCAGCTAGTACCCACCAACGGATGGAATGACATTCAAGCATAATCCAGTATTCAATTATTAACAACTAGCGGCCCGGCCCGGCTTCGCACGGGTGCAATGCAGCAATGCTGATGCTAAATACATTATAGAAAAACTGTGAACGTTGTAATGGATGTTATTATAAATATAGCGGCTTCGCACGGGCACTAATCATGACATTTACACAAATATTCACAATTTTTACATGAAATAAAAAAAAAATAGGAAATTTAACTCTTTCGTGATCTTAAAGCCCCTCCGATACCTCTGTGCCCGAGTGACGCCTACAGCTCTTCAACGCATAGTTAGCTGCTGAGCGGATATTTAAAAAAAAATTCACTCGTGATATCTTTTAAATAGAATGTCAGAATCTAATAATTCAAAAAGGTATATAAAGGTTTTAAAACGATCTTAATAAATAAATCATTTATTTTAATAAGGATTAATACAAAGGCACAAATAAAGAGCCTTTTCAAGCAGTGGTATTTTAATTATTTTTTATATACATATAAAAAATCGCATGTTGTGACAAAACTATAATAGTTAGAGATATGATGTCGCGACGTTCTTTGTAGATAATGATAAGTTCTACAAAATTGTAGTACATCACTTTGTTATATCTTTCGTTTTCTGAGCGTTCGCGATTAAAGAAAGTTTTTTGGTATATTTTTTACATTGTCGGAGTTTTGGTAAGGAACCCTATTTTTTTTAAACTAAATATAGCATATGTCAATTTTTTTATGTTAAAAGGGGCAACTGAGCAGACGGCCTACTTGATGATAGGTAATTACCGTCGCCCATTGACATCTACATTTGTAGATGTGTTGCCGCCCTTGATGGGGGAAAAGGGGGAGTAAAAGGTGGGAAAGGGAAGGAAAGGAAAGGGTGGGAAAAGGGAAAGGGCAACCGGCTCTCTCACTCACCGGACGAAAGGCAGCCATTAAAAACTACTTCACGCCGATTTTCTGGGAGAGGGTAGTTCCCTGGTCAAACCAGCCCATGTTCGAGCTGTAGTACCTTGACCACAGCTAGGCTCTACCACCTGTCGGGGTTGAATTGGGGAATTGCCATAGCAGGTCCCAAATCGCCCCCAAATACGGGCAGGAAGGGAAGGCAGGGAGTTTTAGTGGGTATTCCCAGGGCCAACACCATCAGGCTCTGGGCGACCCCCACACAAGTCCCACTGTCGAGCCAGGGCAGTGGGTAGTCTGTAAGCGGATTTCTCCCCGAAAAAAAAAAGGCTCTACCACCTGTAATTACTTCGGGATAGTATAGCTTTCCAACTGTGAAAGAATTTTTCAAATCGGTACAGTAGTTTCGGACCCTATTCGAGACTAACAAACATAAAATCAAACATTTCTTCTTTATAATATTAGTATAGATAACATACATTTGTTTAATGAGATCTAAGATTTTCGCGAGTACTCATTTAAATGAAACTAATATTTTTCGGATTTTACTTCGCGTTTTATTTTAGAAAACTACATACTCCCGACGTTTCGGCTACTTTTCAGCAACCGTGATCACCAAAACGTCGGGAGTATGTAGTTTTCTAAAATAAAACGCGAAGTAAAATCAGAAAAATATTAGTTTCATACATTTGTTTAGCCTGGAATCGTCTATTGTTATTTTACATTTCTAACAACAATGAAATACATGTTTCATAATGAAAAATTTTCAAAATTAGTAATTACACTGTAGTGAATATCGTATTAAAAAGCCTATCTTAACTATTATTTTAAAATATAAAGACCAAGCATTTTCTATGTGATGCAGTTTTATAATATTAATATTATTATAATTACGTTTTTATATGAATGATATTACTTAAATAACTCCGTCTTATTATTATATATTGTATACTATTAGGTATATTCCTTCTTATCTCAAGTTGCCCGAGAAAGATTATTTTTAGCAATTAGAGCACCTATCGTTCTATACTTCTTTGGTACACTCTTGTAAACTATTATCCGACTATAAAATAGCAATTAATTATGTTTTAGAGTGTATGTATTTATTTATGTGTCTCTGGCAAACGATAGAGCCTAAACGGGTTGTCGTATTTCTATGTCAGTGGTGTCAAGAGAAAAAGAAATGGATTTTTGTTAGTGACACTACGTACTTACACAAAAATAAACATAGCTACGAATATCCATTTTCTAGTTTCAAAATATCATTTAAAAAAATAGTGTGTGGAGTCCCTCCTCGTCGTAGAAGTGAAATTTCGTTATGTGGAAATAAAAATAAGAAAGGGGAGAAATAAATTTTCAGTGAAATTGTATTGTTTCTTTAAAATAAACTTTATAAACATTGCATTCAATTCACAAATGAACCGCACATTTATTCTCTCTCTGTCTCATTCTATTCCTTCTCCCCACGTGCGTGGAAAGTTTAACGTAGCCTTGTTGGAAGTCGCATTAGAAGTTTTATTTTAAAAATGTATGTATAGAAAACATTCAATATGGTATTAAAATAAATAAATTCAATGGTGTTACATAATTAAAACGATCTATTTTCCAGCCATGGCAAATTTGTAGATGGTAGAGCCTAACTGTAGCCAAGTCACTATAGATCAAACATATACTGGCTCGACCGGGAACTACCACCCTTTAGAGAAGATCGGTGTGAAGTAGCCTCTAATGGCTGCGATTCGTCCTATGATCGAGAAAGTCGGTTACCTTTTCCCTTTTGCTACCCTTCTTTTCCTGTTTTTTCCTTTTTCCCACCCTTTTCTCTCACTTTCCATAATCAAAGTCTGTAACGCATCTGTAACATTCCTTTTGTTGCAAATATCCATGAGCGATGATGACTATCTTCCATCAAGTAGGCCGTCTGCTCATTTGCCGCCATTGTCAAAAAAATGCCAATTAATCACATCATACTTATCACTAATCATATTAATGCAAAGAGTTTGTCATTTTATCAAAAGTTTATAAAAGATGGCAGATGGTGAAGTTTATTTATTATTATTATTGTGTAAAGACGTTGACATTAGCAAAATTCCACAATAACAATATGAATGAAGCCATGACATAAATTAAACAAACAGAAATTATACATAATTCTATCAGTACAATTACGAAAGTATAAAAATCATTAATAAAGCAGAGTTGCATCCTTATAATAAAGTTTTTATATACTATTTATTTTTAAATATTGTAATTTGTAAGGTTGCTTAATATAACCCACGTATGTATATTAAAGGCGAGACAAAATTGTATAAGAGACGAAATTTTGTAGTAAGTGTAATTACAATTTACTTTTGTACCTGTATACTGTTTTTAATAACAAATGTTTTATGAGAAACAATACAAAATCCCCGAGGATATTTGTGCGTCGGCCTCCATACCAGACATATTTTTATATTCGCTTATTTTTAATTGCGTTGTGATAATAGAGCTTATGGTTCCTTGGGAAGCCGACATCCCAAAATTCCATACCATCAAGTCAATATTTATTATTACGAGCTCGCAAACGAACTTACTCGGAATATGTATGTTCGTCGTGTATATTTGTACACGGTAGAAGTGAGAGCGAGTGGTATAACAGGTAAATCTCTCTACAACCTATTAAAAAACTCAGGCTTGTCCAGAACTCACATTAATATATTCTTGAAACGGACTTTGAAGCCAGGCCTATTAAGTTATTTTCAAATTTGGTTAGGTCGTGGACAGTGGAGGTGAGCGTTTAACGCGCGTTAGATAGGGGCCCTCTAAACGTACACCTGAGTCGCAAGTCCCAGGCACTGTTAAAGTTCCTCTCCCTGGAACGCGATGGACCCGGCACCCGCACGGTGAATCCATGGAATGCTGAGAAGTTTCTTCCCTGTAGTTACAACGTAAAGTGAAGATAGTTTCACTAAATTTCCAAGCTTGTGATACTCAAAAGGATATTAAAATGGTGGATTATATTTCTAGAGACTAGTTTTTAGGCATATTCTAATTGCAATACCTTAAGCCAAGCGAAAACAAATATAGGATATTCAATAAATTTCAATTTCTATCAAATTAATAAGCTACCAAAGGTACCAAGATCTAATTTAACATTACCTAGAAAGAATCATTCATATTTTATTTAAACAGACGATGTCGAGTTTTCTCATGAAAATGTTAAATCCGCTTCCAACTACATACTTTCAAAATACATTTTCAGTATACGAAAGCAAAAAATCCGGCTAGGAATTATAAAATAAAGCGTAATAAAAGTTTCATTTGCTATTTTAGGATGAAGGAAAATGTACTTCGTTTAGAAATAAATAATAAAAAAAATTACGTCCACTGTCGTTCCATTTTATTAAAAAAGTATTCACTAAAATATCACAGATAATAAATATTACACGTGCGTTCTAAAATCCAATATCTATAAAGCGTTAGTCGGCTTTAACAGTATCTATGTCGGTTTCATATCGAAATTGAATTACAAATTCCAATTAAAATGCACAACATAAACCTACAGTTGTGTTTATTACTCAGACGGACTTCAGATCGATAGATGTTACATTTACTTATGTTGTTTATTCTCCATCAAATCGTTTCAAAGGTTATAGACGTTGAGAAAATTGAATTTTGTAGAAACCTTGAATGTGGGAGAGAAAATACAGCTGTTTGTGGGCTAAGAGCCGAAGATTACGGCTTTCGTTTAAGACTATTTGAAAACGAATGCCAGTTATTGAAATACGGTTGTAATGTTGACGACGAATATGGTATTGAGATTGGTTGAATATTATTTTGTTTCTAAAAATCCATTATCATGACGTACTAATAGTTAGATATGTTTTTTTTTAATTTTTATGTCATCAGAACGCAACAAAAGAGGTTTTAATTAAAACATATCGTACAATAACCATATTACGAGACCGTATTGCAATTGCAAAATTAATCTGCCGTACATTTCTAAAGGACCGAAATATGTAATAATTCATTTCATGTTACAGCTTACGGATTAATTAACAAAGAGTACTGTGAATTCAATAAAATGAATGAAATATTCGTCAAAGATATAAATGATATTGAAAATTTTAATTTAAATAATAACGGAATAGTAAATTGCAATAAAATATGCCGGACTGATGATAAAGAAGTTTGTGGTATAAGGGACGATGGCGACGGTTATAAAATACGTTTATTTGAAAACAAATGTCATATGAACAAATATAATTGCGAAAATGACATACAATTTTCTGAAACCGATAACTTCATATGCAATGCAAGCCTATCGTCATCCTATGATAATAAAAACGAAACTATTGATCTTAAATATAAGGCAGAAAACGTGACAAATCTAGTAGTTGTGAATACTAAAATGTTTGGTGATTACGACGATTTAAATGATACTATTGATACATTCTTCGCTGCTTCTCACGTATTTGATCTGCCTGTCAAAGAATTTAGACTTCCAGATACTAGACGTAAATGGTTGAAATACGCTGGACCAGTCAATGTATTCGTACCTGTCATCAAGAAACCGAAGCACGTCCATAATGACACTTTTTATATACCCACTTTAGCATCATGCTATCACAAGTGCCCTACAGTAAGTATTATTTCATATTTTATACAAAACTAGTTTTTGCCCGCGAATTCGTCCGCGACCTTTAGAATTCGAAATGTGTAGCTGACCGGGCGAACTCTATTTCTCCTTAAAGACAGTGGATAAGAAGATTTTAGATTTCATTAACTCATTTTTTTCTTTTGAAATCGGATATAAAGTATCCTATGTCCTTTCCCTAGTTCTAAGCTATCTCTCCAACTATTTTCAGCCAAACTCGTATGGCCGTTCTTAAGTTATAAATCGTGTAACTAACACGACTTTTTTTAATATATAAAGTTTTTTTTTTTTACTATCCAGAAATTTAAAAGGTTTTTACGAAACATTTGATATTAATGTATTTTTATTTAATACTAAAGATTAATTTGAAATCTAAATTAAAATATTGTAATGGTTTCAGTTACAAAGTATCCCTCTAATTGATTCAGAATTCCTCGGACTCATCATTCTAAGTAAAGCAATTTAATATTTTTCTATACAAATAAATAAAGTGTACTTTCTTTTTATTATAATAATTCGTTTTCCTGTTTGTCTGTCTGTCTATTTATTGTTGTTAATCTTTAAAATATATGAATTCATCTCATGGGAAATTCTTTGTCAGATAGTATGTTAAAAGTAGTAACTACTTGTATTAAAGATTTTTATATTATTATATTTATAATAATAAAAAAAAATAATTATTGCCCGCGGATGAAATCGCAGGCCGAGCTAGTCTCTTATAAATTCTCTAGTAATATAATAATTTTATCTCAAGCAAGAAAAGTCTTTACAGTTCTTTATATTTACAGTTGCAGTTCTTTATGTAAAGAAAATGTATTCCATTGCCTGATAATGTTTGCAATGACTGATGCAATTTCTATGTAGCAGTTTATATTAAGTATTTGTTTTTTTGTAGAAATGCCCGGACACGTATGCACCGGTATGCGGAGTTCCCGGCATAGTGGCCCGGGAACCTGCACTGATATTCCAAAACCATTGCTTCATGGACGTAGCGCAGTGTAAAATGTTTTGGGAGGGTAAAAGCAGCACCGCTCATAGCTCATGTTAGTAAAATAAATGTATTAAGTATTAGAATTTTCAAAAAGAGATCTCTGCTTGCATGACGAAAGTTCTAATTGATTTTTATGAAATTATAACTAACTTATATACTTCTTCTTCTTCTACCTGGCAATTTTCCAGGTTTAGCCAGGGCCTGCCTTGCATGTTGTGAATAGTTTTAGCTAATTGTTTTTACGACCGGCCGCCTGCCTGACTGCCTGAGTGATGAATTAAAACTCTTAAAAAATATATATGCCAGGGCCAGGATCGAACCCGTGCTCTCATGCATGAGAGGCGGACCTTTTAACCACTAGGCCACCACTGACTAACTAACTTGTATACTATAACTAACATATATTCAAGGTTTAAGATACACGTGTCTGGTTGAGACAAAAAATACCATATTGACAACATTTATATTCTTATTATCAGTCATCAAGAACAGCTTATAGATATTAAGATACTCGTCAGCCTATCAATCAATACTTTTATTTTGTAAGAGTACAAGATTTAACATGATAAGATATAATTTTTCTCTTAATCTTCTAACAAACTAGCTTTTCACCATACCTTATAAAAAGTAAAAGAAATAATACGACGTTATTTTCTCAAGAATTTCTCTCAGGTAGATCCAGTCTGCAGTCAGTCATCTAACACTTAAAAGTTATGAAGTTTTTCTTAAATCAACTAAATGAAAAAGCTGCCTTGAAAGAATATTTTTATTAAAATCTCCACTAAGAGACGTCGCCGTTCTGTTCAATTTTATTTTTATTAAGTAAATTCTTTGAGTTCCTTACATCAAACCTTGGGAGTATCAAGGATAATAAATTTCGTATTAAAATTAATTACTACACGTTAATTTAATCTCAATATTTCTTTATCTCATGTGTTAGGGAATACAGTATGTAATTATCGCTGTAATTGATTTGGCAGTAACAATGTGAGCCGATAATAGGGTTTAGATACAAGTAGCACATAATAATTGAATCAAAATTGATTGCACTAAACGTTCCATCGTGCATCAATTATGTTGTGTAAGCTGTTTAACCAAAGATCCTTTATAATAACATATCCCATCCTATCCTAATATACACACACATACTTATATGTGTGTGTGTGTATATGTGTGTATTAGAAATTCGTATGTGGATAAAATTATCAATTTATTCTCTAGGTGATATTATAACATTTTTCAAATAACGATACACCTTATTATTTTAAAAATATATATTTAGAATGTAATTTCGACTTACCTAATGCCATGCTAGTAATTTTTCTTTTTTAAGAATTTCTTTTCCAGTTATGTCGTTTAAACTAAAACGAATAATATATATATATACTTATTATCTGTATATGTGATTAAGTATTGCAAATACATAAAAATGTTTTTCTAAATACTGAAAAACAATTTACTACATCCAGAAACATCTTGTTAAATACGAAATGTTTGTAGACTAAATGCATCTGTTTTAAATGAATGTTAACGTGCCTACAGCGAGGTTGAAGGGTTAGTAACAACACAGTACACTGTACATTCAATACCACATCGCTTGTGCCTGGAGGCATACATCATTGTCTCTGACATTGAAATCAGAGTATCCTAGGGTTGATGAACGTTAGGGCTCGCGTTCATTTACACTGTAATTGAGTCCAATCTTTGAATTAATGACATGATATTCGATACCATATTGAACAGATATTAATTCCCACAGCCTATATGGAAACCTCCTTCCTTTTTTGCATGGGAGACGAGATGAATGCTGTGTACAGATTCCTACCGGCGATAAGAACCTTGCAACACATGGGAAGGTTGAAGAAGAAGGGAAAATTTCGTAAGAGAATAAGAAATTTCAGATATCTCAGGGATTTTAAAGGTGGTCGACCTAATTTCATGGGTTGATTGTCAAAATATAAAAGTATGTTATAAATTGCGAGTGATATGACAGTAAATAAATTTGTAACTAACATATAAAAAAATGTTATTTCATTGGTAAAAAACGTAAGCATTTTCCAACATGTTACGTACGCGCTACATATTAAGAAATAAATGAACATCGCCGGGGCGATATCGTTGTATGGATAAAATATCATATACCGAGTGACGCCGCTGACTCCGCGGAACGAACACCAAGCCGTGTGAACCAGAAGATTCCTGATACCACACAAGTAATAGAATGTCATTGCTATCCTAACATCATTGCAATAATGTAGTCTTAAGGATATGTTATAAGTTTAAATATGTAATTCTGATTATAGTATACATAAAAGTTTTGTAGTTTTCCAGGAACCTCTGGTTGCCACCATACATAATTAATAATTAAAATCTGTTAGTAATATACATATATATGCATTTCACAATGTTGAGTGAAACGAAATAATTTAATCAGATGAAGTTATTTGCTAGAAGCTTGAAAACTTCAATTTACTGATGAAATCAATTTACTATCTTTATTAATATTAAATTTAAATTTTATCAGCGCTATATTAAAACAGATCATAGTTTTTTACACGAACCGCTGATTACTAATTGATCTTCCTCCGTAATTGTTTAGTGACTCGAAGAAAATTGCAATTAAATTGTGTTCTAATATTATGCTTTCTATATTAAAGCTTACATTTTTATTCACAAGTAGAGTCTTCAATATTAATTGGTGAGGAAAATTAAATTATCATAATTTTATACATATTTTCTAACTTGTGATGGATAATCACAATATATATATTTTTAAACTTAAAAATAAACTTATACGAAACGTTTTCTGTATCTGTTTTATTGGACAAAATACATTTATTTTCATAAGTTTAATGACAGTAGTAGGTTTTTTCAAATTTGGTTATGTAGGGAGAGGAGCTTGGACAGTGGAGGTGAGCGTTCAACGCTCGTTAGATAGGGACCCCTTAAACCTACACCTGGGTCGCAAGTTTCAGGCACTGTTGAAGCTCCTCTCCCTGCAACGCGATGGACCCGCATGGTGAATCGATGGAATGCTGAGAGGTTTTGTCTGATACATATTAGTCGGAGATTAAATTGATTGGTACATTTTTTAATATTCACTAATATTATAATATTTTATGATTTATAAAAAAAATAATGCTTCGTATAATAATTTAAACTTATGGTTAGTATAGAAAAATAGTATAGTAATAGTAGTATACAAAATTCTTCTACAGTAATAAGAATTAATGAAATCGTATTGGCTAATGAATACAAAAAAATCTAAAACAAAACAATTATGTTATTAATTTATTTAAAATATGATAAATATAATATAAATACGTAACAGCTGAAACTAAAAACAATATATGATTTTGCAAAAATTCCTATATATGTTTATTATTTGTAAAAAACACAAAATATAATATCAAATGTGAAATATATTAAATGAATATACCACTAAATGATCTTGCTTTTTAAATTTCAGTTTAATTTTTTAAGCAACATGGTTTATTTTTTTTAAACATGCTCCGATGAACTTTACTCATTTAACTATTACTCGGTGAGAAAATGAAGTTACCACCGAAGGTAGATTCACGCATCACTGAAACTGAGCCAGGGGAAAAATACTCGAAAAATAACTTGTTTTTTCGCTATAAAATTTAAATTGTAAATATTTTATATACTATTATTGATAAATTTTAATATAAATTGGTTAAGCATTAATGTAACTTGCATTTTAAATAACCCTTGAATTTTGTATTGAAATACTTTCCAACGTACATTTCTACATGTTTAAAATTTTTCAATACAGTTGTTTTGCACAAAATAATACTTTCTAACCAGTTATAATTGGTATAAATATTACAGCTTATTGTTTTATAGTTGCTTTAACATGTAAATATTGCAAACAGCTAAATGGTAAAGTACTAAAATTGTACATCTCGAAAGTTGCAGTTTTAATTCCAGCACGTCTCAATGAATTTTTTTACACTTTCAATTTCAATATTAATTTAATCTTTACAAATACAGCTCTTATTCCCAATTAATTTCAAATTAACTATTTGCTTTATATTATATCAGTGTAAATTTATAAATATAAAGAAATTTTAGTCTTAATACAATGAAGAACGCCTACTATATATCTTAAAAAGTTTCTTTACATACTGAGATCCAAGATTTTCGAGAGTACTCATTTAAATGAAACTAATATTTTTGGATTAACAACGCGATTTTTATTTTGACTATAAACTACATACTCCCGACGTTTCGGTTACTTTACAGCAACCGTGATCAGATGTCATTTACATTTGGTTTTTCATCAACAAATTTCATATACCTATTAATTTACAAGGTACTAAAAACTATATTAATATTATGTACAAAATGAGTACTATATATACATTTGTTTTATAATACTATTAACATCATTGTTTTCTAGCCTTTGTCCGAGTTTTAAACAACTTGCATTTTATATCAGCTGTTAGTAGCTTATACCGTGGCATTAAGGGGTCGTTGAAAGACTTAGGTTATTTTTGGTTTATATTTAAAGATTTAGAAAATTCTTTAGTCATTAATAAGATTTGATTTTACTAAAAAATAATGGATACATACTAGTTCGTTAACATTTTTCATTAAAAGCCTATCTTCTTGATAGATATTTAATAGTAACTCATGCAAAAATGTGATTATTATAATATTATATTATAACAGCAAAGGAAAGATAAAATATATACGCAAGCGACGGCAAATATTGGCCTACATGTAACAGGTGAATTGTATTTCAGAGAGCACTCAGATATTTTAAAACCCCCTCTATTTATGGGCGGAATCTGTTGCGTTGGTACATGCCCAGCCACCCTAGCTTGCCTCTAGCTGGCTGCAGTCGCTTCCCTTAACTCAATGAGTCAGCACGTACAGCGAACACATTTGGCATAAAATACAAATGTTTCATTTGTTTTAACACATGTATATTGAATATATATTGTAGCGCTTTGAGTATACTCGGCGGCAAAATATTTGTTATACAGAAGTCTATTTCAATATAATAATAAAGTTTGAAACATTTTCCCGCTACAAAGTTGCTGAACAACGTCGAGATTGGTATGACTTGATTTATTAATAATTGCATTTTTTTATATAATTTGCCTTAAACTTTTATCATTTTTTTTTTTGTCTTTATTATACAAAGCTTTGTATATTTTCTGTTAATATAAATATATACGAACGGTTTTATTTTGTTTCAGAATTATATATTTTATATAATGATGTAAAATATGGTTGATGGCATGTTTAGAATGTTACGAAAAAATAGCAAGATGAAAATATCGAATGTCAATAATGAAAATTATATGGGAGATTGAAAATAAATTAACAGCATTCAACATTATCAACAGAAACAGAAAAATATAACAACTTTTGCTTTATAAATACAAGGCAGAAGTTTTACTATTTTTTATAAGATAGTAAAACTTCTGTCTACATAGTTATTATGGCATATATTAGATGTAAAATTCAATAGTATGTAGAATTTAAAAATATCTATAAGTATGTATTGCATTAAAATAATTATTTATGGCTTATGATGTTATAGTCCTAGTTATTTTTTGTTTAATGAAATGTATTACCAACTTTTATAATCATTGTTATCGGCTAAGCTATAGCTTGGTTCGTACATAATGGAACAATCGTTTAACAGAGTTGGCTTTTGAAAGCAACTAAACTGTTATTGTTACAAAGTATGTATGTAACTTTCAACAAATAAGTCGATTAATACATAGTTGAAATAATATTATGTTTTAATTGTATTTCATATGTTATATTTGTAATATATATGAAAAACAAAGCTACAATAACATAATGTTAAATAATATCAATAGATAGGTAGATACAATAAATGCAAAATAATAAAAAATGATCCAAATTTTACGAGTATCCATTATATTAATAATTCTTTATTTGGCTATCGTTTAATTTATTTATTAATATGTATTTTTGCTTCGACTTCAATTATTTTATTTACGTAATTATTAAAAAAAAAATAAAAAATATATTTATTTTAAATACTATTCAGGATTTCTTTAAACAATAAAAAAAATATCTAGAGATACAAGAGAAATTCTGATAAATTAGTACCTATTCTTCAATTCTGACTCTTTTTCAACTTACAAATTAGTTTTGCAATTTTAATTTAATAGTAAACAAAAATCACACCACTACTCTTTCAAACAAAAATCAGACCATATTTGAAAGTTAACTAAGGAATATCAATATAGATATATAATATATCTATAGTTGAAAAAACGTCGTATATGTTTTCATAAACCAGAAACAAAAACAATAAGAATTATGACCACACTTATGACTAGTGATTGTCTAGTTGTTCTTTTATATTGGTCATATATATTTATATTCAATTAATTAGAAATGCTGCTAACACTTAAAATACTTAACAAATAAAACGAAATTTGAGCTCAAGTAAAATTACGAGTAAATTCCATTCTCACTTACCAACATGTTATATTATTGTAACAATGCTTAATTGTATTGCTAAGTCGCTAAGAATGGACATACACGTACATATGTACGTAGTAAACTCAATTCCCAAGTAAAACCAGATATAGGAGTGTTATTTCATCCAATTATTTTAGCAATTTAGAAGTTTTGTATTAAATACTTGCAATGAGTGTATTTTTGAAGTATCAGTACTGAAAAGTACTAATTTTTTTTCTTAATTTTTTTTGTGTCATATTTTGTAAAACTAAGCGCTATTAGGGTTAAAAATAAATAAATAAAACGAAAAATATTTTTAATTAATAAATTATTACAAAAATAGAGGTCTGTCTGATATAAGAGCCATGTAAAAAATCATTGTAGTCAATCTTCTCCTGGTGTTAAAACTTGTGCCATTAAATTATATTTAACTTTTGTCTAATAAATAGACTTTATATTAAATTTAATAGATA